GGAATATGCCAGCCAATCACATTCTCAGCCGTCCAAAATCTAGAATATGGCAGACCTGCTCCGTACAGACTGTTAAAGTAGCGACCCACCTGCGCTAACTGACTTTGCCCCAAGCAACCTAGCTAACTTATCAGAGTATTCGGAGAAGCTTGCGATGAGATCAAAGCAACCATCATTACCCAGTATTACCCTATTATTATTTTCTCATCTAGGAAAACGACGTTTCGCTTCACGTTGCCATGTTGCACTGGCCGTGTGTCGAACTTCTCTCTCTGACGGCTAGAGATCTTTCGCTCTCTCGCGAGTGGTGTAGCAAAATGCTGCTGCGGCGTCTAGCCAGTGCTGTCAATCAAAAAGCTTTTCAGCATCTTCCCAACAAGGTCGCTATTTCCTCGACCGTTGCTTTAGGAAAAGTCGTCTTCGGACACGCCCGGATTCGAGGCCATCGTGGCGCCAAGATACTGCTGGACGACTGGTGAATCAAGTATTTGAGATTTCTGGTCATCACCACGTTAGTGAAGAAGCTGTGCTTTTCCCCGGCGGAGTCTCCAGATACCTTGGTCTCAAAATCCCCGTAAGCGTGCAGCAATAAGATCTCTTCCAAATGTCGCAATTGCATTGCGTTCGCACGAATGTCATTATCAACCTCCCCAATGATCAATAGCTCGTCGACGGAGTTCTTGCTGCCCTCGAGCCTGAAGAGCTGCTGTTCGACGCGGTTCTGACAAGTAATGATTGCTCGTAATGCAAACACATCCCACAATGGTTCCAATTTCAGCAGCTTGACTAGATTTGACATGTCCGTTATCTCTTTATCTTTCCAGGAAGCCTGCAGCTCCCTTTCACCATCGTTCTTCTGCAATAATTTGATTTCGAGACCATCCTCTTCGTTAACACAAAGCAGCCATACAAAGGAGGACTCCCAATCTGTAGAGTCACCGCGAAGAAAAAGACGAAAGCCTGGTGCTGATTGAGCAACGGCTTTCTTCGCGAGCTTCAAAGGGTCATCATCTGGGATGCTAAGGTCCAGGAAAAGCTCTCGGGCGGACTTCACAGTCGATTCAATGAAGCCATAGGAGAACAGCATCTCGCAGGCACCTTTCTCGTCTCCATACGTGATTGTAACCTCGTCATTCGGAGCCAAGTCCTTACCTTCTCGAAGGACAAGAATGGCATTGCCGTCGCCGTCGGTCTCATACAGGGCACTGGTACTGCCGCCCGAAGCATGGTTCGCCATATCAATGCATGGGACCATAGAATGTCCGGTACCAGGCAAGTCTAAAGCCCGAGATCTATACATTGCATCGACCGTTTTCCAGTCATCGAGCGTCAATGTGCCACTGGCTGCGTCCCACCAGCATTTCTGACACCAGTCGATTGACGACGTCTTCTCTTTCAGAAGATTAAGTTCACGATCCAAGCCATTTAATTTAGCACTTAGAGCCGCTTCAAGAGAAGTTCCTGTAACTATCGCTCGTTCGCTCTCATTCCAAGTTGTGGGCAAGGGGACCCTGAGTGGAAGAAATTTCACGTATTCGCTGAACGGATTGGAGACTCCTATGCTGCCTCCAGTCGCACCGTTGGTCACTTGCAGGAGCAAGAATATCAGGATGGCTCCCCTTGCTGTCTGACACCCATTAGTCTACGTCCAGAGCCTCTGTATCTTTTTTCGAAGCTTTTAGGCCAATTACCCTTGAGTAATCTCCGGTAGCTTCGAGGACCTGGCGTAGATGCTTGTCTGATTTCGCATACACCCATACATTTTCAAGAGACAGGACGAGGTCATTCGGGATTGTCATGAGCAACGGGTTGTCTATTGATCTCTCAGCGGTCGTGACCAAGCCTGAACCCTTATCTCCTTGCGAAGCCATGATCTTAACGCCATTGAACTCGACATTGTTCAATCGAGCCCAAGCACCCAATTGATCAATGGGCAATGTCTGTCGATGCATGATCAAATATCTAAACAAAAGTAAGTCTAGCAAAGGAACATGGATGCACCAAATAAGCCTAAATCAAGTGGATAAACCTCGGTACTCGTACCGGCATGGCTTTTTTAATTTGCTGATGACGGCATCAGCTTGTGTCTAAATGTGCGCTTCACTCGTGCTCTTGTAGATATCCATGATACTCAATTAAACGTCTCCAAACTCCTCTGAATTGACAATAATTTGCTCAAACGACCTGGATATGTCTATACTCCGTACCTCCGTTCGTACCCGGACGCTTCTACTCAGGACTTTCCGCACCACCCCTCGATCCCTCCCTTTCCTCACCCAATATCGCTTCGCCTCTGGCACATCCGATTGGTCGGGCCGTCAGCCTCAAGAGCACGTTCAAAACCGAAGAGACGAGCTGGATGTCCAATCGGGGGCATCGCAATCAGGGAAAAGAGAAAGAGTTGCAGACAACGAGAGCGTGAGTCAGGGTACGTCGGAGAAAGATTCAGGGAACCAGAATGAGCAAGCCCAGAAAGATCATCCAGAGGCACCAGGGCCAGTGATTGGCATGAATGATGAGAGGGGTCAAGTAGGTCTACGATCCAAGGGAGCAGGGCTGGTCAGTTAGTTTCGAGGAGTGTGCTGACCACTGTGTAGAAGGGCCATAAGGATTAAACCAAAGCGGCAAAAGTTTTACTATGGCTTTATGGGCGGCTGTGCTTGCATTGTGTTGCATACATTGGCGTCTGTGACATTTGGGCGTCATGGAAAGAGCATTCGATTGAGGTGCACAATTGAGACATCTTTGCCTGTCTAGGGTCTTTCAGCGTGTATTCAGAGCAGCCTAGAATTACAGCGACTGTTCGGCTTGCAAACTTGTCGTAGTCTCCGTATTAGAACGAGGTAGAAATGCTGTCGTATGAGACCCGTGGTGCAGCCCTACCAAGCGCGATCACCAGGTATCGATCCAGCATTCCAAAAATTTCGAAATCACCGCATACTACTCTATCTACTGGTGTAACGTAATGGGTTCTTGAAGAGAACAATGCCTCGAGACCCACTCATAGGTCTGGTCGGGAAGCCGTCATCTGGCAAATCGACCACTTTGAATAGGTATATCGATTCTCAGTCCTAACATTGAAGTCATGTTCTGATCGCTTGTGCTCAAACTTAGCCTTACAGACGCCAGCTCCAAAGTCGGCAAGTCTACAGAAAAACGTGCGTTCGACCAAGGCCTTGACTGACTAGGAGCTGCAGGAAACTTTCCGTAAGACATTTGCCTTCCAAAGAAAAAGAGCACATACTCATCCCGCCTAGGTTCACTACAATAGACCCTCAGCGAGCCATTGGATACCTTCAAATATCCTGTGCTTGCGCCCGACATGGCGTTTCCGATCGCTGCAAGCCCAATTATGGTGCTTGCGTGCAAGGAAAGCGTTCTGTACCAATCGAGCTCCTAGATGTCGCTGGATTAGTGCCCGGCGCACATGAAGGAAAAGGGCTCGGCAACAAATTTCTAGACGATCTGAGACATGCAGATGCATTGGTGCATGTTGTTGATGTCAGTGGGACCACAGATGCAGAAGGTAGGGTTGCATCCAGGCCGGAATCTGATAAGGGAGCTAGGACGGCTGATGCGCCTTGTGCTCAGGAAAGGCAACCAGAGGATACGATCCGTCACAGGATATCGTGTGGCTTAGATCGGAAATTGTAAGATGGATAGAAGGAAATCTGATGGAGAAGTGGTGAGTGTCGGAGCCTCAAAGCCTCTTATTACCGAAGCTAATGGTCACCCAGGGGCTCTATCAAACGTCGTCATGTTGCCATAAGTAAGCAACAACAGCTGCTGGCTTTTCTGTCTTGCTGAATATCGAAGAGGCGAACCCTGTCGACACACTACAGAATCAGTTTTCTGGGTACGGGAGCACATCGCAAACAGTGGCCCGCACGCTGGACCACTTAAAACTCAAGGAGCCTCTTGAACATTGGTCACCTGAGACCATAAGCTCTGTCGTTGACGCTTTCACCGATGAAAAATTCCCTACCGTCTTCGCCTTGAACAAAATCGACCACCCAGACGCTGACAAGAACATATCGAGGATTGCAAAGATGCAAGATCCGCAATCTATAGTCCTGTGCTCGGCCATATCAGAGGTTTTCCTGAGAAAGCTGGCAAAGCAGGGCTTTGTGCGTTACGTCGAAGGCAGCGAATTTGTAGACACGAGGGAAGATCTCCTAGAAATGGGAGAGGCAGACGGGGGTGGACTGAAAGAATTGGATGAGAAGCTGAAAACCAGGATTGAGAATCTGAAAGATATGGTGCTGTACAGATTTGGTTCCACGGGCGTTGTGCAAGTGCTGTCACGAGCAGCGGAGCTTCTAGGTCTGGTACCTGTCTTCCCTGTCAGGAATATACATGGGTTCGGATCAGGGGCTGGGAGCAATTTCGTATTCAGGGATTGCGTTTTAGTCAAGAAAGGCACAACTGTGAGGGACTGCGCAAGGAAGGTCATGGGAGACGCGCCGTTGGCGTACGTGGAGGGCGCTGAAGGGGTGAGGGTCTCCGAGGATGAGATCGTGGAAGTAGGCAAGAACGATGTCAGTTGCAGGATAGGAAGCACATTGTCAAGAGCTAACGTGCGAGATACAGGTCTTGTCCTTCAAGGTCGGTCGATGACAACAGAGGTTGCCCAATTTCTTACTACAAGTTTGAGATGCGGCCCTGCTGAAGACCATGAGACGTCATGGCGTCATGCAAGTCATTACATTGGATCTTACGTCGACCACAATTCAATGGTCCAGAATAACGTGCTCGCCTATTTCGGTGGACTAATTGTGCTACTTTACAGGATTGATAACAGACTCAATGTTTTCTCATAAATTCTTTCTGGCATACAACCTCATCGATAGGCTCAATCACTGCAATGTGTTTTGATATGTCTTTTGTCATTCATCCTCCTGAGCCTGTCAGCTTTTGTAGGTTTGAGCATCTGCTTACGATTTAAATTCAGTGCTGCTGATGAAACTTCTATTTACCCTTAAGGGTTGGCCGACCAAAATTTAGGGGACACTGCTCAGCCATATGATAACTTGCACATTTATATCAGAGGTTCCGACAAGCGATATTGCAACAGGCAGGTGCTCGACACGTTTATCGACGCGTGAGTTGAACGGGACTTGACCAAAAATGTCTCGTTCGTCAGTGTTAAATACCTCTAGTCTTGATGCCAGCAGAACTTACTGGGCAATGTCAGCTCTAGAGCTCCTGTTGTCAGACCGAGGCAAGAGCTAGTGAGCCCTTTTTGTGGAGTGGAGGGGACATTAGGTGCACTATCTTGGTCAGATCATTCGAGTGTTTCGATCACCATATAGCGTGTTGCTCGTCCGGTCTAAGATTATTGGTAGGAAATCACCAATAAACCTTTCAGATTGAGCCTTGATCTACAACTTCACATGCGCAGGGCTTTTGAAAGGCAGAATTCACACTTTCATGTTCTTTTGCTGCAGACGGCGAACCCACACCATATACTCGTATTTACAGAGGGTTGCGCGGACAAGTATAGTATCTTTTGATCCGTTTACCTAATTACGCCAACGCAAACAATACCGGTAATTCACAGTTTATCCTTAAAGTTGATGATACCTTCCTGCACGCTTTAATCAAAACAAAACGACAGTGTAAATACCACTAGACTCCAAAAAGGGGCATATGGCGCAGACGCTCCATCAGGAGGCTCAAAACGTCAAGGCGATCCCCTTACCCCTAGACTTACGGAGCTTATTCGCGCCCTTCTTGTTTCCAGGTTTATGCTCTCTCGAATCATTTCTAGGCTTACGAAGAACATTTCCCTTTTTCGAGCGCAAATAGTCCTTTCGCCATACCTTCTTGTCGTGTTTGAGCGTCTGGTTCTGTGCCTCGGCAGCTGCACTCTGAGCACGAAGGACTCGTGCTTCGACCGCAGAGGATTGCATTGAACGTTGAGTAGCCGTCAGAGGAGTCATTCCAGTACCAGCCAAAGCCGTCGTGAAATGATTGGCGGCACGAAGGTCCCAGACATGAGACAGCGGGCGCGGAGGGGATGCCTCCGGGAAAACACAACGCTTGAGTTTGTCGTAGACCGCGTGCATTGTGAGTATTATGTGACTGGGAAGAGATTCTATGCTGGTATAGGGCAGACAGTAATGAAAAGCTATGTGATAAGAAGCAGATATATAGAGAGCGGTGTATGGAAAGACTGCTTTGTCTCGACTGTACAAAGACAATGTATAGTCGACAATACATTGTTTGGCTTCGTTCTCGATGAAGGGATATCATTAGCTCATCCCTGCATCATGGTACCTGAATGGTGAGTTCGTGAACAGAAGAGCCAAATCCGCCATAAGATCTGTTGCTTTTTCCGGAATATATGGTACGGATCCTAGGGTGCACTGATGAAGAAGATGGCGAACGATAGAGAGAAGGCCACTAACGAAGCAAGGAAATAGGGCAAACCGCCAGAAGTCCTAGAGAAAGCATTCGCTGTCAAGGGAAAGATGACAATACTTGGCTTCAGGGAAGGTCACTATGGTGGAGAGCCCACCCAAGAGGAAACGAAAACAGTATATTGCACTCTCATCGGTATCGTTAGCACTGCAAAGTCTACTTTCTTCGTACCGTTGCTGAATGCCAAGTAGAATACAAAGCACTGCTCGTCTCGTCTAATTATTCTCCTGCAGCGAGACAAGTACTGAGATGCTCGCTACATTACCCAACTTTTCCTCATGTCTGGCACCGCAGTGAAGACGTTCGATCTCAGGATTGACATCGAGGCTCAGTGACAATTATTAGGATCAAACTTGACATCCGTGAGTCCTCCTAAGATAGGATAGCTAAGGAGGCTTGGTTGGGCTATCCCTGCTCAGACTCCCCTAACATACGGTACAGAAATCCATACATGCAACCCAGCTTCATCAAAGATCCAAGTGTACTGGTCTGCAGGAGGAGCTTGTTGACCCCTAGCTGGGCGATTATAGTTCTCTTTCAGGCAGACACTTGGAGAAACCGAATTCGCGGAAACACAGGATAATCTTCGAGACACACCGTCTAACCACCAATTGAAGCGTCTATGCTTCAGATGGGTCAGCCTGATGGAGGCACACCCCCTTACATACATAATAATTCAATCAGAGAACCCAATCTTACAAAGGAGGAGAACGAGGCAGGCAGTATTGGTATGTCTCCCATAGACACGGCAGATTCTTGCTCCGAGAAGTTATTTTCCTGGCCAAATACTGCTGCCAACAACCAGCTTTTCCAATGATTGCCATAATTTAGCAAAGATGGAAAGATTAGCAACTATCATGACCACCGAGGTTCTTCCGAGCCCTACGTCTGTTGAAACATACACATTGGCTTCCGGACGGTGACGTTGGGAATGGCCCTGCACCATTCTGCACATCTGCCACTTCGACAGTGGCAGTCTGTTTTCGAATCTCGTGTGCCCAATAGTCGGGACACTCGGAAGTGAAGGGCCCGAGATGAAGCTACTGGGTCATTTACTTAGCCTTTGTGGCAGCTTCAGCTCGTCAAGAGAGCCAGGCTCCGCTGCAAGTAATCATGCCATTATCAGCGTTCGTCCGGAACCACTCTCTGCCTTGGTAACCATGCTGACCGCAACAGTTTGGTACGTATATTTGGGAGCTGATCCTCCCCATATGGTATTGAAACTGAGTCGCAAGACATGTTTCGGGAGCAAGAGGACCTTTCTATTCCCAAGACCTGTCTTGCAATTTCAAATCCTACCTTGAATAAGCCATGCTGACTCGGAGATCTGCGTAGATGACATTGTCACGGTCCACGGCCTTGCAAGCGTACCCTCTCCCTACCATCATCTATCTTTCTCCTCCTACAGCGTTCTTACGCCGCGAGACCCAGCTCTTGACGGATTGATCTCCGAGCACGACCTCAATTGCGCCGTCTCCTCGCCCAATGCCCTGATTGGCTCACGCCCAACGGAAAATGCAGATGGAGCATACTTCGACATTGCCAATGCGACTTCGATGGCCGAGGAAGGCCTTCAACCCTATTTTACGCTGAAGTCATTCTATATCAAGCCAATGGATGCACCTGCGCCCGGGACGAAAGTCTCTGTGAAAGGCTACACGAAGGTTCGCGATGAGCCGTACGTATGGCAAGTCGATTTTCCAAGTGGATTCCATTTACCCTTCCTGGTCAAGATGGAAGAATACAGCGGTGAGGAGTGGAAAGAGATTTACAAGGTGGAGATAGTGGCCGACTTTGGGTACGATGATTTAGACTGGGAATTTTGTGTTGATGATATTGAACTGCAATTCTTCGCACTTCCGGAAGATGAGAGTGAAAGTCACAGTCACAGCGGATCTCAGATTGTCTCGGGAAAAGGGGCCCAGCGCTAGGCAATGGTTCTGCTCCGATTGTGTTGCATTCGAAATTCCTCCCGTATGCAAAGCTGGAATGCTTGCCTGGCCTGATTGTAAAGTGCACCGATCTACTACTGAGACCAGTGTCCATGCGCGGTCTGCGCGTGAACAAGGGCTCTTCATCTCGCAGGGTAACCTCCTTAGCCTACTACAGGTCTTTTGTGTTGATCGCAAGTAATGGAAATAAACATAGTCCAAGCACCTTCGGCCTCGAATAGAACCATCCACGCGGGGACTCGGACAAATGATGATTTCGAGTCAGCATGCGTTTTGGACTCCCGAAACAGGTGTTGGGGTAAAAAGAAGTTCATTCCTTGCCTCGAAAACATGTTTCATCTGCGAGTAAAGCCGCGAACTGGAAGGAGACACTCGGAAACGAGGTATCAAGATAGCGGTATTGGAAACGGATTAGGGGAGATCCCTAATGCAGGAGGAACAGTATAGCCTTCGAATGGCTTGATCTCCTCACCTTGAATGCCTAAACTGGACTCAAGACCTCGCGAGAATAGTTTATGTATGGTTTCCTCGTTGGCTATCAACCGCATGTGTTCCAGTCCAAGGAGTTATATCCGAGAGTCTATACTATACAAGAACGTTTCAAGATTTCCCTTCTTCGGTCCACCAACCCTGACCGGCCTCACGAATCTTGGTGCCTACAATTGTGCGTTGGCTGATAGGCGAGCCGGTGTCCCTAACGTCTGTCTCATGCAAGCCGTACTGTACAAGAACCTCGGTGAGAGCCGGCTCTCCTACTCAAGCCGCGGCCTCAGACCTCTCCTTCACGGGTTTGGTTGCATAGTGCCTGCTAGAAAGGCTGTGTCGTCATCCATAATCCCTGTCCACTTCCGCCAGAACTCGATATTTTCCCTGGCACACGTCCGTACTCGACATGCCGGGCAATGCGAAAGATGTCCATGACAACGGCATGTCACGCAATATTTGGGGGCAATATCGTGATATTCCGAGCACTCTCCGTGACTGGTGCCCTTTCTTGCCTCTCCGAGGAGCTCTTTCGGAATCAAGACACCATCTCTCTGCAAAAGGCCGACAATGCGTGATCTCGCGCAAGCACTCAGATCGCCAGCCTCCTTGGACAAGCATCCCAAAGTCGGATGTGTGTATTTAAGGCAAGCATGAGCGACGACATCAAGATGATCCGCCACGAGGCATAGGACATCTAGCGGGAGCTCCAGCAGCCTCATTCTCTCTTGCTTGTTTCTTTCGCTCGATTTGTGATCAGAAGTATGTTCTATAAGCGAGACTGCCACTGGGAATGTCAGACTATATTCTCTCCATCGCTTGGACGTAAGCAAAGGTCGAAGGCCTCTGGTAATGCTAAGAGCAAATCCCTCACCATCCGTATCGTCTGCTGTGGCATTCTTGGAGGTTGACGCTGTTGTTTTCAATTGCTTCGATGTCAGCGATGGTCCAAGGCCTCCAGTTACGCTAAGACCAAAGTCTCTGTCGTCTGCATCGTTTGCTGTGGAATTCCTTGAGTTTGACGCTGATTTGCGTTTGGAAGCCATTGAAAAATTGTATCTTCAGCTAAGGAACACTGGTGCCACCAGGTGCGGTGCCTCTCGTATCGGTAGTGTCTCGAACCCACACCTTGACTTGGCCAGAGGATAGGGCCTTTGGACGGAGGATCTCGATGAGACGATGTCTTAACACCGACTGGGAGGCTCGAGAATTTATACCCAGAATTGCTGCTGTTGCTATGAGAAAGTTTTAAGAAGCATGTGAATACAAGAAGGTGAGAAGGTTTGTGAAGCCTTCACTTATGCCAAGCCAATCCCTCTCAATGCGGCCAAGCTTTCGCCACGACACATTCCGTAGGGAAGCCGCCGCCCTACACCTCTGTTCTTTATAAGTGTGATTCCTTGCAATCAAAATTGTGGGCCTCAACGGGAACCCTGAATGTGTGCCATTTCTAATCAAATCCTACGAAGCATTTCAGACTTTCAGCGGTGTTCTCTCTGACCTTGACAGTAAATGAGGCTACTGGCCTGTGAGTATCGGACTGTATGTTCACAGCACAATCGCTATGGTAGTGGCAAACGAAGTTGGTGCTCAGGGGATATACGGATTGCTTTAGTGTACGAGGGCCCTACGAGGTTAGTGATAGGCGCCGCACAAAGACGAGGCTTTGAAGATTGGGCTTCATTAGATGGAGACTGAAGACCGACACCGAGAGGCTGGGAAAGCAATGAAGCATGCCGTGCCACTGATTCAATTGAATCAGTCCCAGCCAAAGCAACGTAGTATCCCGAGCGCTGGTAAGCCCCAGTATACAGTTGACGCAATGGTTGGTTAAGTTATTCGTAGAGGTGTCGCTAATTGTCCAGCGCGAAAGGCTGTGTCATTGCCAATGCCTGCTTCGGGTCAACTCGCGCTCAATCTGGGTGCCGTGCTCTCTCTTTTTGCATGTGCATGTATGTTTATGCGGGTATCAAGTCGAGAAATCGAGAAGAGCAGCCTAGTACTAATTGAGAATGGTCTTATCACAATCGCATGTACTGTATGACGCCGAGGAGAAAGCGGAAGACACTGTTTGAAAGCTCCTTTCTCCATGGACATGTTGATTGCTGTCTGGCCAGACGCATCATGACGCCCTTCTGCCTTATCAAATATCCCAGGATCCATGGCTGAATCCCGACATGCATATCCCAGTACCTTGAACCCTCTTTAAA